TTTTAGGGGGGAGGGTCCGTGGCCTCGCCGGGCTGCGTAGCCTGGGGGCGGAGGCAAGGGCACACGTTCCAAGTGGGGCAAAGCCGTGAAATGAGCGTAAAAGCAGAAACTAAGTCTCGGGAGGGAGAACCATCCACCGTTTTGGTGGATCGCGGGGGCGACGGTGCCCCAGGGTGGGCGGGAGCCACTGGCCTCGCTCGGAGGTGGAGGGGGTGTGTTGGCAGGGGAGAGAGGGCGTAGCGGGGGCAGGAACCCAGGACCAAGACAGAGCCGAGACTGGACGTAGCTTTCTCTGGATCCCCGGGAACCGAACGCAGCCTAGCGGGTAGTCATTGACTGACTGCTTTGGAGAGCAGGACAACCCCTACCTCCTACCTCCCCCACCCCCGGCCAGGGCAGGTCGGCTTCCCGGCAGGACTTGAGAACTATTTACTTGTCTCGTCCGGCCGGAAGAAAAAGGGAATTCTCAATTACTTCGGGTACAAAGCTTCTGTGACCCTTTGATCTGAATTTCGCTCCCTTGAAAGTAACTCCTAGACCCGGAAACTCAGGAGCGGCAAAGGGGTTCGCTCAGCCCAGATCACAGCCAAGAGCCAGGCACAGTTTTCGCCCTGCTTAAAAATTATGGACTTGGCTAGGGTTTGGGAGCGAGGAAGAGAGCTCCAAATTGCTTCGAACCACCTCTCCCTTTCGTTCACTTTTCTTATCCACCCACCTGCAGCAGGATCCCAACCTCCTAACCCTGAACTGCTGCACGAACTAATATGCACGAACCATTTCCTTGGTGATTCTTTCTTCTCCTCCACACTTCCACCTCTGTGCTGAAGGAGACACTTCCAGCCCAGATGTTGAAGCCGCGACAATTTTTACCAGAGCAGAAAAATAATTTACATCGGGTATTGGCAGCATCACCACAGTCCTTATTCTGGGCCAGCTTTCCAGGAGCTGGGAGCTCACTTTGGTGGGAGAGACCTAGGTCTCAACCAGTCCTCCAGCTCACGTGCCCAGCGCCTGGTAGGGCCACTTTCCCGCCCCCCACCCCCTCAAGTGGACACTCAAGAAAATGCTTACAAATGGCTCAGTGTGTCAACTTTCCAGGAATACCTCTGGAAAGCAATGTACTGAAACCTATGCTTCCGGTTCCCTGGGAAATTCTTTGTTTCTGTTGCTAATAGCTATGGTTACACACTAGTGGCTGCTTCACGGATTCTGTTTTTCATGGGATGTTCTTTTCTTGAGGAAATCGGGTCTGAAGCAAGGGACCCCATGTGTGTAGTATAAGCATATATACAAAGCATACAAAGTATACTCAGATTTAAAAAAAAAAAAAAAAAAAAAACTTTGAAGATTAACTCTTTAAAGAAATCAGCAAATACCAGATCTCTGCTTCTGGGGACCATTCCAATTAAAGGATGGTTTCTTTAAGCCATCTTAAGTGAACATAATAAAGACCTGTCTGCGTAGACCTAGTTTGGGAATGATTCATTTCTGCCAGCAATTATAATTGCTTCCATTTGTGATACTAACATTAGGTAAAAGATTTGGGGCTGATTCAGCTATCTCACCCTTCTCATTTAGGCAAGAAAATTTTGCTTAATATTTGAAACCTACATTGGCATGAAACAGTTCATTTTCTCCACTTTATTGCATATAATTCTTTTCCATTAGGGCTTTCATTTAAAAAAAATTAATACCATCAGCCACACCAATTACTAGATATCTCCTAAAGAAAAATGGGAAAAACAAGACTACTATGTTTAGCAAGGTTAATTGAACAAGAATGTAGATCTGAAGGTCAAAAAGCTATTTGACCTACTGGTACCAAGGGTCTAGACTCAAGCTCCATTATCTTTGGAGCTACTTAATACATACTGATGGCATTAAATAAATCCTTCAGTTCATTCATTTGGCAAACATGCAGAGCAAGTATTTTGGGCCAGGCACTTGGTTAGCCACAGAGGATTCAAAGATGAGCCCTCATCTTACTTCTCAGGAATTCGCAGGTGCAGGTGAGGCAACACAATGATGCATATGCAACAGTGGGGTCGTGTGGCAGAAACAAGAGACCGCTAAGGAGGGAAATAATATCAGCTTTAGAAGGGGGTATCAGAGAAGACTTCCTGGAGGAGGAAATATGTTCTTATTTCATTATTATTTTTTTTTAATTTTTTTTTTCAACGTTTATTTATTTTTGGGACAGAGAGAGACAGAGCATGAACGGGGGAGGGGCAGAGAGAGAGGGAGACACAGAATCGGAAACAGGCTCCAGGCTCTGAGCCATCAGCCCAGAGCCCGACGCGGGGCTCGAACTCACGGACCGCGAGATCGTGACCTGGCTGAAGTCGGACGCTTAACCGACTGCGCCACCCAGGCGCCCCATCATTATTTTTAATTGTAAAAGTAACCCATTCTCAGGACGCCTGGGTGACTCAGTCGGTTAAAACATCAGACTCTTGATTTTCGCTCAGGTCATGATCTCACAATTCGTGAGATCGAGCTCCACTCAGAGCCTGCTTGCGATTCTCTCTCTCCCTCTCTCTCTTCTCCTCCCCTGTGCACCTTCTCTCTCTCAAAATAAATAAATAAATTTTTAAAAAGGAACCCATTCACATTATAGTATGTAAAAGGAAAACAAACTTTATAACAATAACTAAACATGCTATCTTCAGTATTCCCCACCACCAACCCCACACCAACCCCACTGCACAGAGCTGGGGGGTACTGGTATAAACCTTTACGTTTTTTATGTATATATATTTACACAAACAGAATCCCCTTTTAAAAAATAATAAAATTAGGACTTTTACATATTTGTCTATAATTTGCTATTTTAAAAAGCATATTGTGGGGCACCTGGGTGGCTCAGTTGGTTAAGCATCCTACTTCGGTTCAGGGCATGATCTCGAGGTTCATGAGTTCGAGCCCCACATTGGGCTCTGTGCTGAGAGCTCAGAGCCTGGAGCCTGCTTCAGAATCTGTGTCTCCCTCTCTCTCTCTGCCCCTCCCCCGCTCACTCGTGTGCGCGCTCTCTCTCCTCTCAAAAATAAACATTAAAAATAATATTTTAAGATATTGTGATAACAAGCCCCTAAGATCTCTGCTTCCTCGTATTCACACCTTTGGTTAACCCTCTTACTTTTTACCAGGGCTGGTCTGTGTGACCAATAGGACACAGCAGAAATGATGGTGTCACTCCCCGAGGCTCGGTTATAAAAGACTGAAGCTTCTGTCTTGAATTTTCTTTCTCTTTTATCATTCAGTCTGGAGGAAGCCAGATGCCATGTTACAGGGACACTCAGGCCACCTGTGGAGGGTCCCACCTGGTGAATATGTGAGGCCTGCTAACAACCAGGTTGATCCAGGCTGATCCTTCAGCCCCTATTGAGCTTCTGATACCTGCAGACCCAGGTGACAGCTTAACTGCACTGTCCTGAGACATTTGAGCCAGAACAACGCAGCGAAGCTACGCTTGGATTCCTGACCTATAGAAATTCTAAGATAAATAAATGTTTGTTTTAAGCTGCTATGTTTTGGGATGATCTGTTACACAGAAGTAGATAACTAATACACATATCAATAGCAGGGTGTCTTTCCATTGGTCTATCTTATTCTTTTAAATGACTGTTCTATAGTATAACCTTTCCTCTGTAGACAGGCATCTAGATTTTACCCAACAATGATGTAATGGATACCCTTGGACATTTGTTCTTACATACTCTGTTAGTATTTGGGGTGTCAGGGTACAGACAGGGAATCCTGGGACTGGAACAGCTGAGTCTGTAACTTAAAATCTTTATTGCCATCCAAAATCTATAAAGAACTTATTAAACTCAACACCCAAAAAGCAAATAATCCAGTTAAGAAATGGGCAGAAGACATGAATAGACATCTTCCCAAAGAAGAAATCCAGATGGCTAATAGACACATGAAAGATGCTCAACACCACTCATCGTCAGGGAAATACAAATCAAAACCACAATGAGATACCACCTCACACCTGTTAGAATGGCTACAATTAACAACACAAGAAACAACAAGTGTTGGTAAGGATGCAGAGAAAGGGGAACCCTCTTGCATTGTTGGTGGGAATGCAAACTGGTGCAGCTGCTCTGGAAAACTGTGTGGAGGTTCCTCGAAAAGTGAAAAATAGAACTAACCTATGATCCAGCAATTGCACTGCTAGATACTTACTGAAAGGATACAAAAATGCAGATTCGAAGGGTACGTGCACCCCAATGTTTATAGCAGCATTATCAACAATAGCCAGGGCGCCTGGGTGGCTCAGTCGGTTAAGCATCCAGCTTCCGCTCAGGTCATGATCTCACAGTTAGTGAGTTCAAGCCATGTGACGACGAGCTCTGTACTGGAACCTGCTTCAGATGCTGTGTCTCCCTCTCTCTCTGTCCCTCTCCCACTCGCACTGTCTCTCTCTCTCTCTCTCAAAAGTAAACAAACATTGGGGCGCCTGGGTGGCTCAGTCGGTTGAGCGTCCAGCTTCGGCTCAGGTCATGATCTCAGTTTGTGGGTTCGAGCCCTGCATCCGGCTCTGTGCTGACAGCTTAGAGCCTGGAGCCTGCTTCGAATTCTGTGTCTCCCTCTCTCTCTGCTCCTCCCCCACTCATGCTCTGTCTCTCTCTCTCCTTCAAAAATAAATAAAAACATTAAAAAAATTCAAAAATAAACAAACACAATAGCCAAACTATGGAGAGAGTCCAAATGTCCACCGACTGATGAATGGATAAAGATGTGGCATATATACCCACAATGGAATATTTCTCAGACATCAAAAGGAATGAAATCTTGCCATTTGCGATGATGTGGATGGAGCTAGAGGATATTATGCTCAGTGAAATAAGTCAGACAGAGAATGACAAATACCATATGATTTCACCCATATGTGGAATTTAGGACACAAAACAGATGAACATATAGGAAGAAGGGAGAAAAAGAAAGAGAGAGAAACAAACCATAAGAGCCTCTTCACGATAGAGAACCGAGGGTAATGGGGGGGGGGGGGGGGTGGATGGGCTAAATGGGTGTGGGGCATTAAGGAAGGCATTTGTGTTGAGCACTGGATGTCATATTAAGTGATGAATTACTAAAATCTACTCCTGAAAAGAATATTACACTATGTTAACTAACTAGAATTTAAGTAAAAAACTTGAAAAAAATTAAATTTTTTATTGCCAAATGCCTTCCAAAAAGGTATGCAACAGTGCCCTCACTTTCACTAATATTGGATATTAGCAATATTTTATTGTTTGCCAAACTGATAAGCAAAAAAATAGAATCAAATCTTTTAATTTGCATTTCTTTATCATCAAATTAGACAGAGTTTGGGTATTTTTTTTAAATTGTATTAAACATTTGCATTTTTACATCTGTCAATTATCTATTGATATCCTTTGTCCACTTTTACCTTTGGCTGTCTCAGTGAGTTTTGAGAGCTCTTTAAATTGTGGATATTAAACCATTTGTTACATATGTTACAAATACACCTTCTACTGTGTCTTCTTTTAGCTTTGCTAATGGTGTGTTTTGTTATTTTAATTTTTGTATGTTATCAGTCCTTTTCTTTAGTCATTTCACATGACTTTCAAATGATGGATAAGAATTTGTCAAACCAATATATACCTAAAAATTAATGTAATATCACGTATCAACTATAATAAAAAATGATTCACTGAGCCAAGAACAGGGCAATCCAGGCACATGGACTGCCTTGAACAAAGGCAGAAATGAAAACTTGCATTATTTATTCAGGGGAGCCTGTGAGCACACGGGTGTGGCGCACAAAGTTGGTGACCACAAGGACAGATGCGATGCTGCAGAGGGGCAGGGGCCAGCCCCAAAGGACCACAGTCTGATGAGTGAGCTTGAACTTTTTCCTGAGGGCAATCCTATAGGCAGAGAAAGGTTTTACACTCCGATTGATGTCATCAGATTGCATTTCTAGATCCATCTCCAGCAGCTGTGTTGGGGAGGATTGCTCCAAGGGCACAAAACTAGAAACAGATACCTCATTTGGGAAGGGACTGGATCATCTGCTGGGATTGTCCAGAGAAAACTTAACAATGGCATGAACCGGGGCAGCGGTGGTTGGATTGAAGGCCGGGGACAGAATGGAGAAATATTTTAGGGGAGAAAAGGGGCAGGACTTATGTGATGCATCTTCGAGTGGAGAGGTGGGAAAAAGGGAAGGCACAAGAATGGGGTTTAGGTCTTTAGCTTGAGCGCCTGGGTGGAGAGTATTGGCACATGGGAAAGCATGTGCCAGAGGAGCCCATTAATGAGAAAGTTGGGTTTGGTTAGAAGAAACTGAGCTGTGGGGAGACCTGGCTGGGGGAGGCAGGAGACACAGACTTCAGCATCTCTCTGAAGCAAAAAAATATTCAAGTGGATTATCTCACCCAACAAGAGGCCTGCTAAGAAATCACTGAGTTCATTTTGGGAGAAGCTGAAGGATAGCCAAGTTGGTCAGTTAAAAAGTGCCATGGCCAGGGACGCCTGGGTGGCGCAGTCGGTTGACCGTCCGACTTCAGCCAGGTCACGATCTCGCGGTCCGGGAGTTCGAGCCCCGCGTCGGGCTCCGGGCTGATGGCTCGGAGCCTGGAGCCTGTTTCCGATTCTGTGTCTCCCTCTCTCTCCGCCCCTCCCCCATTCGTGCTCTGTCTCTCTCTGTCCCAAAAATAAATAAACGTTGAAAAAAAAAAAATTAAAAAAAGAAAAAAGTGCCATGGGCAGAAGAGACAGTAGGCTCTCAGCCTGGATGTCCCTGGGGGTGACATACCTTGGTAGGGTCACTCCAGACCCTGGGGCAGCTTCTTAGCAATTTCGACTTGGAAAACTCCATTTTGTCGCTTCTCTCAGGAATGATCAAGAGCTAGTCACCAGAGAGTTCCACACGTTTACTACTTCTCTGAGGGCCAATTTCTGTTATTCCTAGGAAAGGAAGGCTAGGTGGCAGGACCATGGGTTCGGATCCAGTCAGAGCAAGTTTCACATTCCAGCTTCATACCTGTTGGCTCTTAGGACTCCTGAGGGCCTTCATTTCTTTGTCTGGAAAACTGGGAGGGCTTCCTTTCAGGGACATTATAAAAATCAAAGAAATAACATACAGAAATCATCTCACATTGTGCCCAGATCACAGAAGAAGTTGGGGAGGCAGGAGGGATGAAAGCTAAGAGCTCAACAGCTAAGACACAAATGCTGTCCAGATACTGCCCGGCTTGTGAACTACCAAGAAGTTAAAAATCTCGGGAATTCTCTTTCAGGAGAGAATCCAGCCCCTTTCCTTCTAGTTTTCCAATCTTAGCTCCAGGGAACCCACTGGATAAACCCAAACTCTCTCATATTGTGAGACTCTAAGAATCTGAGTTCAGTATTACAGAGTTACTGTTCCACACACCTCTAACATCCTACAAATTGAGGGGGAAAGATCAAGAGATGGTAGTTTTTAAATCACAAGTATCTGCTTCAAAAGATACATGACAGATTATTTTAATAAACTCTCTCGCATTCTACAAGGAAAATAAATAAGTAATTTATTTCATTGTAAACGTAAATTCACATAGTAAATGTGATCTGGTTAGGTGTTTTTAAAGGTCTATGTAAAATTTGGCTGATACAGAGAGCACCCACTGTGAACCTGCTTTTACTGAACTGTACTTAGTGTGATGTCACTAGTTCTGGAGGGAAGCGAGAAACAGATTGACGAGGCTCATCATCGCGACAGCTGTAAGGATGTGTCTGAGCTCCTTGTTCCTTACATTGTATTCATGTTAAGAAAGCAGTGTCCTCGTTAGGGGGCTTCTCAAAAACAATTTAAGACTAAAAAGAGTTGGGATGCCTGGGTGGCTCAGCTGGTTAAGCTTTCGACTCTTGATTTCGGCTCAGGTCATGATCTCAAGGTCGTGAGACAGAGCCCAGAGTCGAGCTCTGCACTCTCAGCATGGAGCCTGCTTGGGATTCTGTCTCTCCCTCTCTCTCTGCTCCTCCCCTGCTCACGTGCTCTCTCTCTGTCTCTCTCTCTCTCA